AAAAAAACAAAAGCCACGGCTCTATAAAAACACAAGACAGTTCTACAAAAACACAAAAGACACGGCTCTATAAAAAAACAAAAGCCACGGCTCTATAAAAACACAAGACAGTTCTACAAAAACACAAAAGACACGGCTCTATAAAAATACAAAAGCCACGGCTCTATAAAAACACAAGACAGTTCTACAAAAACACAAAAGACACTGCTCTATAAAAATACAAAAGTCACGGCTCTATAAAAACACAAAAGACAGTTATACAAAAAACACAAAAGACACGGCTCTATAAAAATACAAAAGTCACGGCTCTATAAAAACACAAAAGACACGGTTCTACAAAGACACAAAATAAACGGCTCTATATAAACACAAAAGACACAGTTCTATAAAAACACAAAGACACTGTTCGACAAAAACACAAAAGACACGGCTCTATATAAACATAAAAGACACAGTTCTATAAAAACACAAAAGACACGGCTCTATATAAACACAAAAGAGACGGCTCTACAAAAACACAAAAGTCACGGCTCTATAAAAACACAAAATACACAGTTCTATAAAAACACAAAAGAGACGGCTCTATAAAAACGCAAAAGACACAGTTCTACAAAAACACAAAAGACACAGGTTCTACAAAAATACAAAAGTCACGGCTCTATAAAAACACAAAAGACACGGCTCTATAAAAACGTGTTTTGTAGAACTGTGTCTTTTGTGTTTTATAGAGCCGTGTCTTTTGTGTTTTTATAGAGCCGTGTCTTTTGTGTTTTTGTAGAACTGTCTTTTGTGTTTTTACAGAGCCGTGACTTTTGTGTTTTTGTAGAACTGTGTCTTTTATACTTTTGTAGAGCTGTGTCTTTTGTGTTTTTGTAGAACTGTGTCTTTTTAGAACTGTGTCTTTTCAAAAACACAAAAGACACGGCTCTATAAAAATACAAAAGTCACGGCTCTATAAAAACACAAAAGACAGTTCTACAAAAACACAAAAGACACGGCTCTATAAAAATACAAAAGTCACGACTCTATAAAAACACAAAAGACAGTTCTACAAAAACACAAAAGACACGGCTCTATAAAAATACAAAAGTCACAGTTCTACAAAAACACAAAAGACACAGTTCTACAAAAACACAAAAGACACATTTCTACAAAAACACAAAAGACACAGTTCTACAAAAACACAAAA